GTTACAGACCTTCTTAATTTAATTATATATTATAAAAATATAGCATTACTACAACTAATCCAGAATGCGGCAGCTAGACTGGTGACTGGGAGCAGCCGCTGAGACCATATAACACTGGTCCTGAAAGACCTACATTGGCTCCCAGTACGTTTCCGAGCACAATTCAAAGTGTTGGTGCTGACCTTAAAAGCCCTAAATGGCCTCGGCCCAGTATACCTGAAGGAGCATCTCCACCCCCATCATTCTGCCCAGACAATGAGGTCCAGCGCTGAGGGCCTTCTGGCGGTTCCCTCACTGCGAGAAGTAAAACTACAGGGAACCAGGCAGAGGGCCTTCTCAGTAGTGGCGCCCACCCTGTGGAACGCCCTACCATCAGATGTCAAAGAGATAAACAACTACCTGACATTTAGAAGACATCTGAAGGCAGCCCTGTTTCGGGAAGTTTTTAATGTGTGACATTTTAATGCATTTTTAATCTTTGTTGGAAGCCGCCCAGAGTGGCTGGGGAAACCCAGCCAGATGGGCGGGGTACAAATAATAAATATTATTATTATTATTATTATTATTATTATTATTAATATGGGAGGGTGTTCTTTGTTAAGACACACAATGTTTTTTTAGATCTCTGTAAAAGTAAAAACTAGCATACACCTTTAAACTTTCTGTTTTCCTATTCCAAAAAGATAACACACCAGTTAATTAAGATTTGTATACATAATAGGAGATGTAAAGACCACAAGATTGATGAGGTCAATCCTACACATGCTTACAAGGTATAAGCCCCATTAATTACAGTGAAATTTACTTATGAGCAGATATGCAGATGATTGTATGGTTAGAATTAAGTAATTCACAGTACCAATCTAAGTAAGTTCAGGGCTGCAGAAATTGCAGGTGCCTAATGCAGGCACCCAAGGATATTATTTTTTCCAGCCTGCCACCCAAAAGTGAGTTGTTTCTTACAGCATTTGGAGGCTGACAAAATATTGGAATGCTGTTTAATCTCAGTTATTAAAAATGTCATTTATTAAAAAGAATAATCAAAGGCAAGATTCTGGGACCTCTGACTGTCACCAAGTTCAAGGCCTTGTACTGATCCTGTTGTTTTACTCCTGTTAAGCAGTAGCCTCGTGGTGACAGGTTATGAGAGGAAAGGGAAAGAGGATTGCTTTGAGCATTTATTGGGCAGAGCCTAGATCAGGTAAATTCATTATGATTGGTCTGGGTGACAACAGGCTCTGCTGGCTGGAGGTTCTAGTAGTCAGTTGAGATTTTTGTGAGTTGAGGAGTTGGGAAAGAAAGGAGTTCGATGAAGAAGATGTGAGGAAAAGCTGGGGAGGAAGCTGAGGCTTGGGTGTATTAATGTAGGGTGTTATTAACGTATGTCTGGTGAAGATGAAAAGGGAGCTGGTGTCTGAGTTAGTCTGAGAGGATGCCCTATGTAAAGGTTTTACCAAAATAAAGTAACAGAAGCTTAGTTAGACACTTTAAGCAATCAGAAATACAGGCTTCCCAAACTATGGTCTGTGGATCTGCATTTAAATATCTCAGGCAGCACATCCATCACATTAAATATTCATATTGATTTTTATTAGTTCTTTTATTTCTTAAATTGTATAAGGAATAAAGGAAGCAATAAAATACAATTAGAAATCATACAGCAGCTACAGCAGGAAGAAAAATAATTAAGTAGTCCAACATTCTCCTTAGCAAGTTTCAAGTGGTCGGGGGTGGGGATTTGAAACCACTGCCTAAGAAAAAACGCCATTTAGAGGCTGGTATCAGCAACAGTGTTTCTTAAGACATCAGAAACTGTCACCAGGCATCTTGACTACCTCAGTGTAAATATACCAGTGGTTTTCAACCCGTGTGCCGTGGCACCCTGGGGTGCCTTGAATGACGGTCAGGGGTGCCGTGGACAACACTGGCCTCTGTTCATCTTTCCTTCCCTCTCTCCTCTGATGCCCTCACATCTCTGCCTCTCAAAGGTTTGCACAGCTGTTTGATACAGCAGCCCTGGTTAACAACAACAACAACCATCATTACTAGGAAGTCCCAATTAACACAGGAACATACATACACATTGCAGGAAGGAAGATTAAGGCTTCTTTCTGAAATGCTATATTTTGTATACAAAGCGTGTGTTGTTGTTTACTTTAATTTCCTGTAAGAATCCCAATTGACCAATCAGGAAGTAGTACTTTTCAGCTTCTGATGAAAGATGGGGGTGGGGGCAGAAATCTCTAAAAACCTGCACAGCAAAATGTAGCACGAAAATAGCCCTCAGACACCCTTCAAATCAGGTTTAGCCACAATTGCAACCCACCTCCCAAACCCAATTTGTTTTCAGCATCATCCTATGCATTGAGTTCAGTGGGGCTTCCTTTACTCCCAGGTAAGCAGAGATCATGAATTAGCAAGTTCCACAGAAGGGGCCCAAAATAGCAAAAACCAACTTTTCCTGATCATGACATAACTGGATCCCTTCCCACCCAAACAGAGAGCAGTGCCTAACTACAAAGCCAGTCTAGAGCTTCTGATGTTTAGAACTTTTACTAAGAAAAAGAATGTCTACATGAAAGAGCATACTTGTGCCTTTGTCTCTGTGCACACATGAAAGCGAGAATACATACATGCTTTCCATAATGTGGACCACTGTCCAGTTTGAAGTTGTAACACTACCCTACCCTCAAACAAGTTTTTAAAGTAGTGGCAAGCAACAGATAAAACAGAAAACAAAGAAAGTATGTTAAAACAAAATGCACAGAACTCACCATTTTATATCAATATGTATGAATATGCATATGATGCCTTCCTGTGTAGAGTTTTTATTAAATTGGGTAATATTCAATTGTTGCATCCTGCTTGTGCAATGAACTTCTGCTTGTGGAAACGGGTTTTCTTTCTTCTACTTCTCTCCCTCTGCAGCCCCCCATTCCAAATTTGCTCCAGAATGTTGGGAGACACTCCAGAACCAGTGGCCCAAGGGGTGCACAGCAAAGGGATCTTACCCATAAATTGTTCAACTTCTAGATTCAATATAATGGATTTTAACTTTTTCAACACTTACTAAAAACAATTTAAACTCACTGAGCTACTTAAACCATTTTACCGTTAGAACATTGGTCTGAGCACAATGTTCTCTGATAGTATTTGGATAAGAGTTACGGAACACTATGTTGCTAAAGCAATGTCACACAGTGATCCAAAACAATTTCTTAAGATTCATATATATTTAGAAATGAGAAAGATAAAGGCTGCAATCAATGAACTCTTAGTTTGCAGTAAGTACCTCTGAACTCAGTGAGACTTCTTAGTAATTCATGTGTGTGATCAAAGCAATATGTTAAAACTGCCTTCAGATTAAAGTGCTGCTACCTGTAATGGGCCTGTCCCAACCAACCACCTGGGCCTCATGCTGTTTTAGGAAGAGAGATCTGGACACAACAGAATGTACCCCTCTGATTGCACCCACCCTTCCACTGTTTGTGATACTTGCTGCCACCAGGTAAGAGATTCTGGACTCGGCTACATTCGTAAAAATAAAGCACTTTATATGCGTTATAACACTGACACCAGATGGCACTGTGGAGTCGCATCTTTTGACAACAGGATTTCCCTGTAAGAAGTTTACAACACGCTTAACTGAATCGCTTCTTTGATGTGTCTAGATCCAGCCTACGTCTTTGTTAGGCTGCCGCTTTTCAAACTGCCTCCAAAGGTTTTCCAGGGTCTCCCTATTGCTTCCCTGAGTAGCACGTTATTGTTATAGACATGAAGTTAGGACTCAACAAGACAAACAAGTGAAACATCCATTACCATAGTATACAAAAGCATATACACCAGGAAAAATATGCACTCGCATATAAGATACAGGCAGTTCAGGGCAGTAAAACCCATTCCTCACATTACCCATTAACACCTGTTATTAAAAGCATAAATATACTACTGGGAATGGGTCGGGTGGGAGAGCATTTCAGAACAGCTATTATCCATCAATCCCCTTAGTATATAATTTACAGAGATCAGGTAGTCCTAGGAAACACTATTCTAGATCATCTGGGCTGCTGTTGCAGTTACAGTGGTACCCCAAGTTACAGATGCTTCAGGTTACAGACTCTGCTAACCCAGAAATAGTACCTCAGGTTAAGAACTTTGCTTCGGGATGAGAATAGAAATCACGCGAGGTGGCACAGCAGCAGCAGAAGGACCCATTAGCTAAAGTGGCACCTCGGGTTAAGAACAGTTTCAGGTTAAGAACGGACCTCCAGAACGAATTAAGTTCTTAACCCTAAGTACCACTGTACATGTTTATTTTGCTGGGCTAAGGGAGCAGGGTTTGCATTCATAAACTGCCCATGTGTACTGGACAGCTCCTAGTCCACATGGATGATTATGGGGAACTGCCCTCTCCTCACTCACTCAGAGCAGTTGATCTACTGCTGCATTTACCAAGGGAGAAGTTAAACCACTAGTGGGACCCTGGTATGGCCTTCTGTCCTCCCCCTCCCCCACTACCTCCAGCCTCTCCCCACTTCCTTTTGAATCACACCTCAGGTTCCCCGTTAAAAACCCTGATTCATGTTGTCCTTTGGTTGTCTCCTAAGGATTTTGGCCCACTTGTTCCCCTTTCCTCCTCTGTCTATCTTCCCAGCCATCTCCTCTCCACTGTCCTCTCTTCTTAGTTGCTCTTCTTCGCCCTATCTCCCTTTTTACCACCAAGTGCTGTTTAAATACAGCCATGCTGGTTTCCAAACTAGCTCCTTGCCAGCCACCTGATGGAGGCCGGGCCTCACCTCCAATTCCCAATTCTCTTGCAAGCCCCTAGCAGCTGCAACACAGATGCTTTGCAGCAGCTGTAGCTTGAAGCCCGGTAAAGGTGCACACATCACTGCCTCCCCACACCACAGACCAACAACTACTAAATGAAGGGGAGGAAATACAGCCACTATCCATGAACAATTCTTACAGGATAGTATATTATTTAATTCAACACTTACCCCTTTTCTGAACCCAACCTTCTTTCACAATTGTAACATCGCTCATGATAGCTCCACAATGAGCCTTCAATTCAGAGAAATAATGTTTTGCAGTATCACTTTGAGTTTCAAGTCTCTTCTGACTTTTCCGTATCTTAAATCAACCTGTAAATATAAAGGGAAAAAATTAACTTGATGTGTACTGTTGCTTGACACCCAATCCGCTCAAACAGCTCTTTTTCAAATGGTTACTATTTAGGAACTTTATAGGCCACCTTCCCCCTAAAACTGACTTACAAAAATTCAGATCAATAACATAAATATCATCTAAAAACAGCATCCAGGGGGGAAAATCACAGTGTTAAAAGCATAGATGAACAGAATAGCCTTTACCTGGCACCTAGAGGATAGCAATGATACTACCAGGCAAATACGCCTTGGAAAACAAAAACAGTGCTTTAGCTATGTCACTGATTTCAAGAACAAGCTCACTGCTAAACATACTTGTCAATATCCAAAAAAGTTGTTTTGCTAGATGTTGATCCTTGCTGACTCAGAAAAACCAAACCATTTGTAAAAGTCAGAGCTGTGAACTTTAGCTGGCCAATCATTTAGATCAATCTGTTAAACCCCTTTTGAATGATTCAAAATAGCCTTCGCCAACCTGCTCCCCTCCAGAATTTGTTGGAGAATCCTTTACAATTGGCCATGCTGGCTGGGGCTGATAAAGTTCAAGTTAAGCAATGTCTAGACAGCAGCACCATGTTGGAGAAAGCTGATTGAATGGATGTCCCTAATTAACCAAGTAACAAACTTTTTTTAGGGAATTCTTTTAAATACAAACATTTACAAAACTGTGGAGGGTGAAATGCCATTTTGGAAGAGCCCTTACCCCTTCTTTCCCACACTAAAGGGAATGTCCCTTCTAAGAAGGTTCACGCTCTGATACCTAAGGACATCATTTAAAAACAAAAGCAACTGCTTATTCTTATAAAAATATATCAGTGTTCGAAATTAGCCTGGCACCAGGCGCATTTTACACCTGACTATTGACCACTTGCAACCAAGTGAAGGTGTCTGGCATCTCCACCATCTGGGGATCATTGGATCTGGACTATTTTCACACACTAATGTGACATCCTATAGAATTCTATCAGTTAGATTTTATCTGCACAATCAGAATGAATTTCAGGAACCAAAATGCTTTTTCTGTATATCCTAAGCAGGAGCAGTGAAAAACATTATAGTTAATTGTTGCTTCTTATCTTCACTTACCCCACCCCACTGCCCCGCTCACATTTGTGAAGAATATCTCTATGATAGGAATGGCCCATGTCACCATTAAGAAAAAGAGGTAGGATTGTCTTTAAAAGTGACTTTAGAGCAGTCTTGCCCAAAAATGGCAACTAGACATATTGTTTTGGTGACTGTAATCTTGGTTTAAGGAGCCATTTGGTTAATTTATATATGTGAGTTTCTAACACTAAGATATATACAGATCACAAATCTGTTTCATCATGTTTATTTATTTATAAGAGTTCTTGCCCACCCTTTGCCATAAAGTCCCAGGGCAGGTTATAAGAATGAAATATACAATGATAAAAACAGAAAAACTGCTACTATTATAAAAAAGTAAAACCATGCCAAATGCAACAAAACAACTTCAAAAAGAGAGGTGGATACCATAAAACAGTGACAACATTATCTCTGTCCAAGAGACACCATAGCCAGCAAACTAACCAGAGCTGGAAATAGACACTCCTAGCCACCGAGGCTACCTGAGTGATAGTGCTGGATCCAGGAGAATCACCCAGGCTGCAGACCTGCTCCTTGCAGGTGATGGCAACCTCATCCAGAATGGGCCACCTTCCTACCTCCCAAACTTGAGCACTTGGAACCCAGAACACCTGCCTTTTCAGGATTCAGCTTCAATTTATTGTCCCAAAGGCTGACTTTCACCGCCTCCAAGTAATACGCCTAGTACTTCAATCTCCTCCAATAGAGCTGAGTGTCATCAACATATTGGCAACACCTCATGACAAAACTCCAGATGACGGCTCTCAGCAATTTCAGGCAGGTGCAAAAACAACCTGGATAACAACACAATTCGCATGCCACTGAACAATGGCCGTGAATAACTACATTCTGGGAATAGCTATTAAAGGTAGGATCAGAACCACTGAAGTATAGTGCCCCCCAACCTAGGGTTGGAGGAAAAATGCAATTAAGTTTGTATTTAAAGCTACCACATATTGAACAAATGAACATTGAAACACAGCCATCCTATGAAATTCACACTTATCTGAATTTTGTAATGCACTTCTCCAGCAATGTGTACAAAAATACATACATCCTGGCAATGTGTGCGTAAAAATCCATGTATTAGTGAAAATAACATATGAAACTGCGATATATTATAAAAACTGCTTTGGGGGATGAATTACACCTAGCAGGGATAATGCAAGTTTGGTATTCCTCCATACCATGTGCACAACTGAACAGATATCTGCAACATTAGAAAAATGAATCCAGGTATCCCCTTTCTCTCTCATCTCTCTTCAGTAGAAGAATATGAAATGAGCTGTGCAAGACAATAATTGGAACAGGGATATGAATGCCTGTAGTGCTGCTACCCCTTATATCACAGTGGACAACAGCAGCAATGGATGCTTTGGTGAAAATGCATAGAAATCCTTCATTTCAGTTGCTCACAGAATTCCTATAAAAATGATAGCACTACAGTTAGCAATTCTAAACCTGTTCAGAAGGTATTCCCTATTCATCAAAATGATATGTTACTGTACAGTACTTTTAAGAACATATACTCTGAAAATTCTGATACCATGAGCTCCTAATGCAGAAGTGGGGGAGCTGTGGCCCTCCAGATGTTGCTGGACTAAAACTCTCATAATCCCTGACCTTTGGCCAGGATAACTGGGAATGATGGGAGTTGGAGTCTTGGTGTCTTAACATCCAGAGATCTTCATGTTCCCCTCCACCCTAATAAAGCGCTAAGAATAACATATTTTAGTATCCAAAAGCAGAAATTGGCCAGTAATTCCCAGTTCCATATTCACATGAAAGTTTGAAAACTAGATCAATTACTAAACTTAAGAGAGAACTAAAGTTTATATGTTCCTGCATATAATAAGCCTTGGCAAAATCCATACCATATAACTCCATGATGGATCATGTCAGTGGTCCATCTAGTCCAGCATCCTGTTCTCACAATGACCAACCTATGCCTATCAGTGGTATTAGAAACTCAGATATATAAGTTAGGCACCAAGTGACTCCTTAAACCAGAGTTGCCATCTTTGAGCCAGACAGCTTGAAAGTTGTATTTTTCAATACAACTTTTTGGTTCCTGAAATTCATTCTGATGGTGCAGATAAAATCTCATGGATAGAATTCTATAGGATGTCACATTAGTGTGTGAAAACAGTCAAGAACCAATGATCCCCAGGCATGCACTTCCTGATGATAGAGACGTCAGGTGCCATCCTGGCACCAAGACATCTTCACTTGGTCACAAGTGGCCAATATCCAGGTGCAAAATGCACCAGGCGCCCGGCTAATTTCAAACACTGCCTATAGGAAGCCTACAAGCAGGATCTGCCCATCTGTGATTCCCAGCAACTGGGATTGAGGAATACTGCCTCTTGACAGTGGAGGTGGAAGATGGCCATAGTGGCTAGGAGTCTTTGATAGACTTATCCCCCAAATTTGTCTAATCCTTTTAAAGCCATCCAAGTTGGTAGCCACCACTGCCTCCCGTGGGAGCAAGTTCCACAGTTTAACTATGCACTGTGTAAAGAAGTACTTTCTTTTATCTGTCCTGAATCTTCCAACATTCAGCTTCATTGGAAGCTAATGAGTGTCATGAGTGAGAAAAACTTTCCTCTATCCACTTTCTCCATGCCATGCAGAATTCTGTAAACTTCTATCACATCAGCTCTTACTCACTTTTTCTCTAAACTAAACATTCCCAAAGGCTGTAACCATTCCTCATAGGGAAGCCCTTTGATAATTTTGGTTGCTCTTTTCCACCTCTATACTATCCTTTTTGAGCTGAGAAAACCAGAACTGTTTACAGTATTTCAAATATGATCACACCATAGATTTGTATGATATTGGAAGTTTTATTTCACTTCATTTCCTAATGATCCCTTTTTCACAGCTGCCACACACTTGATCAACAACTTCACTGAGCTATCCACTACAACCCCAATGTCTTGTTCCAGGTCTTCCACCAGTTTAGACCCCTGAACATATATGTGAAATTAAGATGCTTTTGCCTTGACATGCAGCACTTTACCCTTGTTTACACTGAGTGGCATATGCCATTTTACAGCCCAGACACTCAGTTTGGATAGGTCCTTTCGGAGCTCTTCCCAATTTATTTTTGTTTTAACCACCTATACTTCCCCAAATCTGCCTAAATCTGACAAAGTATTGACAGTCTGGCCAAAATATAAAGCAATTTAGTCTCAAAATGTTAGAGAGATCAAGAAAAGAACACTATGAAATCCACAAGAACCTTTGAGTTCAAGAAGTACCTCAGAGACTTCTCAGAGAATTACATATAAGACAAACTGCTGCTTCTGGCATAAAATAGTCTTACTTAAGCTGTAGATAGGAAGATACCAGTTTGGAACCTAACTTGCTTTTTGTGAATGAAAAAGTATTCCATCAATGGAGAAGCACCTTAGGATACAGGTGGATACAGTTATGCACCACCATCTCTTTCTATATATTTCAATGTTTAATTGTTTATATTTAAATAGTATAGTCATGTCCAAGATTGCAAACATGAGCTTCTCTATTACATGAGAGATAAATATGCTTTCTTTCTCTTGTGCTAACTCAACTTTTGAGAAAATAATTATTATGAGAATTCAGTTATCTCTCAAAATTTGGATAATACAGCATTTATTTCATGGCTGTTAACTTTAAGATAAAGCTTTTTGTATTTATTCACAGTGGCGTAGCGTGGGTTGTCAGCACCCGGGGCAAGGCAAGTAATTTGTGCCCCCTAACCCGTGGATTTGCGCCCCCTAACCCGTGGATTTGCGCCCCCTAACCCCCAGATGTTGTGCCCGGTGCGGCCGGGCCCCCCCTGCACCCCCCACGCTACGCCACTGTTTATTCACTGAAGGCCTGAAACAGTATCTAGTCAAGTCAGTGGAAAGAATAAAACACATATATTATTAATGTCAGCTAAGGTAGATCTTTTCCTAAAGCATCAATTTCTTTCAAGATCATGGCACACAAGTAACTTTATACATGTGAGTAAAAAGCACAATAGCAATTCTACAGGATGTCTCTTAACAAGCTCCTGTACTGAGGCAGTAACTGAGCATCAACATTCAGCTTCAAAAGCCCCATAGTGGGGACTCTGCTCTAGTCCTGAAGATAGATTTCTGAACTCTATATTAGACTTCCAAGAATGACATTTATACTGGATTTCTAAACACAGCTCAAACCATTAGAATGTCATTATCCAAGCTGTATTCATGTGAATAAATGTGTTACTCCTATAAGGGTTCTTCAGGAGTACATGTCTAATTTCTATAGCATTTATATGATCTTCATGAACATATGCCCCCCCCCACATTTCTCATAAAGAGAATAATGTTAATGCAAGTAAAGTCACCTATTTGCATCTATTTACTTCAATAAACCATTTTTTTAAAGTGTCAAATGTTCAAAAAATTATTCTTCATGCAGTCGCCAAGTTTCAAATTTACAGCAATACTGTCTCAACGCTGTTAACTGTAAATAATAATAATGTTGAGTAAATCTTCAACTGAGTAGGTGTTTCTTCCAAGCAAATATGCATAGACTATAACTCCTGGTTAGTTTTTGTGTGATCCCAATGATGATGAAATATATCTGTTTTAGATCATGTCAAAGACTTAGAAAATCCAACAGATGTAGGTTTTCATGCATGGCAAAAAAAACCCCAAAGCAGTAAAAAACCTTACACTTTCTGCAAAATAGACACAATAAAAGCATGTGTTGCCATAACAGGAATCTAAACATATTCTAATGATTACTTCCTAATTTCCTGTTAAAGATCTATCTAGATTATGAACTCACAAACATACTAAAAAACTTTTTTGTTTCATATAGAATAATCCTATTCATGTTTACCCAGAACCAAGTCCCACTGTGTTCAATTGGGTTTCCTTCTTGGTAAGTGTGCATAAAGTTATGGCCTAAGGAACTTGCTCCTGTAGTATGTATTTTAAACCTACACCCTTACAAACCAGTTCTAATCCCATTTACTTCGAAGTAAATCCCACTTAACATCAATAGGACATGAACTCTCAAGGCAAATAAATTTAGGATTTTAGCCTAAATGCTCAACTTGTTGCTCAAGTGTATTAATGTTTTAATACTCAATGTATTTGATTTTTAATATTATATCTTGCTGTTCCCATCTTTACAGAGGTGCTCAAAGCATAAGGAATAATCTGTCAGTTAATTATGTTATAGATGAAACAACTTAATGAAGTATTCCAAGTATAATTCTGCACACAATTTAAGTTCCCATTTGTCAATAAAGCTTTGAAAAATGTATGTCATTATTTGCATACAGGCAATATTTTCAATTTAGACAACAATATATCATATGCTAAAGCTGCAAATTTATGTACATAGAATCATAGAACTGTAAAGGTGGAAGGAACCATGAGGGCCATCTAGTCCACCCCCTGCAATGTAGGAATCTTTCACCCACTGTGGGGCTTGAACCCACAACCCTTAAATTAAGTCTCTTGCTCTACTGACAGAGCTATCTACTGGGGGAGGGACCTTCTTTGAACTCAGTGGAAATTACGTCTAAACAAACATAACTAGAATGAGTTGCTAGTTTAAAAAAAGAACAGGTAGTACTTTTAAATGGCATTGCTTACATTAAATCAGATAAACCAAAGCAATAGGTTTTGTTTCCATGCATGTTTTCTTAGCAGTAAATCCCACTGTACTCAGTGACACTTCCTTCCAAGGAAACATGCAGAAGACCATACTGCCTATCTGTTTCACTGTCAGCTATTTTTGAAATTTTTGATAACAAATAGCGATAAACACAGTACACTTTGATTGTACTTTGCAATTTAGTTTTTAAAAGTTAAAATATAATAAAAGAAACAAACATTAAAACATTTCCCTTGTCATAGGAAAAGAGAAAGCTGAAATCTCTAGATAGAAAATGACTTCTTCTGTGAGTTTGTTAGCTAAATATACATATACAGAACTTCTGGCAGTGGATATAATTGTGTGTACTCTACTCTTCTTCTGAACCATTCATCTGGACATCCATGTTTGCCTCATCCAATCAAGGCATACATACATTATAATTAGCAGTCCAATCCAATTAAAGATATTGGGGTCAATTTAAAACTCTTCACAGGAAAACAAACAGAACCACAAACAAAATCTGCTTAATGAACACTCTTAAAGATGTCAAAACAAAATAGTTTTTAAGTACTGTACATTTTATTTGTCTTGTAACTACTCTTGAATTGCATTGTTCAAGTAAGAATATACTTTCTACAAAACAGGCAAAACAGAATACATTTGAAAAAATAAAAATAAAATTACACATAGTGTATTAGAGCTTCCTTTAAATTTCACAGCATTTTAATGTCTGTATGTCCTAGCAAGGTTGGCAAGATACCCAGCCCCAATATTAGAGTTTCTCAGATGTACCCCAAAAACAGCTATCTCTAAGCTCTCTGAAGCGTGATTGCAAATAATCTATCAGCTACTAAAATATATTGTTTGCAAATTAAATTCAATCTTCAGATTTACTGTGTTAAAAACGATCCAGTGTGTACTAATAATACATGTTAGATTTGCCAAATTTTGATAATACTAGATTACCCAACCTTCAGTACAGTAATCTACTTCACAGTTTAAAGTCCAGTCTAAAAGAACTTCTTTGAATTAAGACATAGACAATAAAAAACACATCAAACTATTTCATTTATTCCCATCTGCCAGCATTATGACAGACATCACGTATAAGTTTATAAGTAATTATAATAAAACTTCAATGAAAACATGCCAAATTGTTTGAATACCATGAAAAAGAAATTTTAAGTGCCCTTATATCTAAATTTCTTGTGCCACATTGTGCTTTTTAAAGTAGTGTTTTAAGTTTTGTTTACAAATAACTGATTAACTTCTAAGGATGATCCTATTTACTAACAGGCCTTTTTTTCAAACTGTAACATGTGTCACTCTATTCAATCTCCTCAGATCATGGTCTGTACAAGTAGGAGGTGGGTAAGAAGCAGTGTCTGTCGAGTAATCATGTACTGTACATCAACTCCTCTATGTACAAAGCAGCCATCATAATGGCTGTTCCAGCAAGATTGATGCGCAGAAAGAGGTTGGTTTGTTTACTTGCAGCCACAGCTGCCAGCAGCACCAGCAGCAGCACCAGAGCAATACACTACTATGAACAGAACAGACCATCCTCTCCTATTTCTATTCTTATCACACAGACACGTTCTAAAGTGACCAGGAAACGTTTTTTACTCATTAAACTAAGGCCATTCGCTATATACATTTACCTCTGATCCACGACAAACAGAGGCTGGGGGAGGGAAATATGTGGACGTGTGAGGAGTCACAGTGACCGCGAAGGTGTGTGCGTCGGGGGGAGGAGGAGTAGCTGGATGTGGGGGCTGGATATTATCAGGAGAGACCAGGTGCGCAAGGAACGCTCTGCGCCCTCCTCCTCCTCGAGCAATCCCCTTCAGATGAAAAGGAAGCCACATTCCATATAAATAACTGCGCCCGTGCGTGCGCGCGCGCGCCGCTGTATGTTGTGCCTCGTGGCCAAGCACACATCTCTCTCCCTTTCCTCCCCCCCCCCCCGCGCGTCTTTAATGTTATATAACCTCTTGTGTCTCTACAGGAGCCTGCCAGGCCCCGCCAAACACACACACACACACAAACACACGCACTAGTAGTAGGGGACTTGTTATATTTTCTATGCTGTGAGTGATGGCTGGCGAAGGAGGAGCTGGGGAACTGCTGCCGCCGCCGCCTCCCTCTGTCAGCACAAGGATACTGACGGGGATCATCACTACTAGGCCCTAGATGTGTCGTCCCCCCTTCAGGGTGGGAAGCGGAGAGGGGGGGCGGGGACACACCAGAAATTGGGGGAGCCGCCGCCGCCTGTGCGCCAAGCCGCAGCCGAGGAGGCATCCCCACCCTCCGCCGCTCCTCCCGCCCTCACCTCACCTCACGTGCCCCGAGAGCAGCCAGCGCCCAGCCAGCCAGCCAGCATCCCCCGCCGCCCATCCTCTCCCGCCCGCCCGCTCGCCATCCCAGCAGCTCCACGCTCGTTTACCTGAGGCGAGGGGCGGCGGATGCTCGGCCGTTGGTGTGGAAGTGGCGGGAAGGCGGAGGCGGTTCCGGGCAGGGGGCCCCCCCGCGCTCCCTCCTCCCTCGCCCCCCCACAGCACCGCCGGGCTCGGCCCTTCGTTTCCCCTCAGCGCTGTGGGGAAGGGTCCAGGCCCCGGCCGGCGAGGGAGACGCAGGAGGGGCGGCGGCGGCTACATAAGACAGCGGCTTCTCCTCCCCGCCCGCTATTCACGGCGGCGCCCGCCTGGGCAGCTCGGCCGCAGCATCCGCGGACGTCAGGGCGGCGGCTCCCGCTCCCGGCTCAGGGTGCCCGGAGCCGCCTGGGGCCCAGCCTTCGGTCCGGCTGCCGCTACAGCCGCCGCCGCCGCCGTTGTTTCGGCCGCCTCCGCCAGGCTCGTTATTGACTTTCAGGAAAACTCCCGACGTCACTGGCTCCCCCCGAGTGTCTTCCCCTCCAAGGCGGCGGCGGCGGCGGCAGCAGCAGCGGCAGCATCGGCATCCCCCAGCTCTCGCGAGAAGCGCCGATGTGCGGAGCGGGGGGGCTGCCAGACAGAGCAGGGAGGGAAAAGGCGGGGGGAGCCAGACAGAGCGGAGGGAGGGAGGCGGAGGTGAAGAGGATGAATGGGAAGGAGGGAGGGAGAGGCACGCAGGAAGGAGCCGGCGGGGCTGACCAACCGACAGGCGAGGGTGGGGGCGGGGAGGGAGGGCTGAGGTGAAAAAGAGACGGGGCGGGATAAAGGGGAGGCAGGAACCAGACAGGCCGCCAGACGCGGGAAAGCTGAGGGAAAGGAGGATGGGCGGGAGCAAGCGAGGATGAGGGGAAAGCGGGGAGGATGAGGCGCCTCAGAAAAGGCCGCTGCCGGGAGGAGCAGGAAGGCGGCGAGGGTGGCTCTGAAGGCGCCCCCACCGAGGGAGGAAGAAACCAGAGCAAGGCCGGAGCCAGAATCCCGTCCGGCCAAATTTTGAGCGGTGTGCCCCTTTCCCAGGCACAGCGCCCAGAGCATAGCTGTCAACTTTTCCCTTTTCTTGCGAGGAATCCTATTCGGAATAAGGGAATTTCCCTTAAAAAAGGGAAACTGACAGCTATGGCCCAGAGACCATAGTGCTGCTGTTGTGTCCAGGCCAACAATGAAAGGCGTCACATTATTATTATTATTATTATTATTATTATTATTATTATTATTATCGGCTGTGCCTTTCTTCCCTATAGCAAAAGTTTTCAGATTGCAGCTTGCAACAAGAAGCACCTTGTATTTCTCCACCCACCCACCCATCTATGACAAATCCCCACTGAAGTGTTTGAAAGTTGGCGCTTCAACAGGGCGCTCTCAAGCCTGCCCCTTTTCACATGCGGAGAATGCACGTGCATTCGCAAACAAGTGAAGTGCATATTTCTCTTCCGATGTTTATCGTTCTTTAAAAATAAAATTGATTTCCCATTTTGCAGAGCAACTGCTGTCGGTGTCAAAGAGTTCTGAAGAACTCGGAAGCTTGCTTGCTGTTTGTGAAAGTTTTGGTTGGTTGTAAGGTATTGCCTTGCTGTGGATTTGGTTATTCCATAACTATATTTTACACCCAAATATTGTTAGCTGGGGGAAATGAACCTTTGGTTTTACTTGGGTGGGAAGCTAGTATTCCTCCAGATACTGCTAAATTACAGCTCCCATCATCCCTGACCATTGGCCATGCTGGCTGGGGCTGTTGGGAGTTGGTACAGCACATAGAGGGCTACAGGTTTCCCATTTGTGACATGGTAACTGAATACTGAAATGTCACAGTGGCCTTTTTTAATGCACAATCAGCACACAATTCTACATTTCAAGTTCAAACATGTACCTCAGACTGCAGCTGTTTTCAAAGGAAAGAAAATGCAGAATGCATATAGCATTGAGATAAAATGAATTTTTGTGTACATTCAAGGAACAATTTGTTTGATGTTATTAGCAACACTTAGTATTCTGGACCTATCACTGTAATCCACCTATAAATCTGGGTTTGTTATTATTGTGTATTACTTTGAGAGCCGTTGTGATTGACAAATATTGGAAAAGAAATAACCAAACTGCAATCCTATGCATATCTACTCAGAAGAAAGCCCCATTAAGTTTAGTTGAACTCACTTCCAGGATTGCATCCTAAATAAATATTTCAATTTAAATACCACCACTTTCACACCCATTTTTAAGGGAGGCAGTCAATGAGGTACAAAACACAACTCGATGTGTTATAATCCCTCAATGTGGTATAATCCCTGAAGAAGATTGAGAGATCAGAATGAAAGTAGTTGTTTTTTCATGTTGTAACATACCCTAGGACCTTAGGGTGAAGGGTGGGTAATAAATAATAAAAATAATATTATTCAGAAAATAATTATCCAGTTCAAACCGTACCCCCATTTTGAAGGGGGACACATATTCACTCCATATTCCAAAGAAATCTTGAGTGGCTTCCGACACAACATGATCTCTCCTATAAAGATTTTAGAGATAATTGCCACCTATTACCATTTACAAATGGAGTTGTGTGTGCTCAGCCACCATTACCCATTTACAAAGGGAGGTATGCAAAATAATTATATTATTTACAATACCCTTCAAATAATGTAGTTTGCTAGTAATTATGGTTGAGCAGCCACTTACAATTTGAACTTGTATTTAATATAGTTGTATTATCAGTGGGAATAATTAGTGCAGTCTGATCCTCTCTGCATGTTTATTAAGAAGTAAATCTTAATGAGCTAAATGTGCCTTACTTCCAATAACCATAGGATTGCAGCCTTAAATTAATAATAATATAGGAAAAGCTGGCTATATATTAAAACTTCCAAGAAGAGAAATGCAATGTTTTGGAACAATCCAAAACATTGTTGTGTGATTTTTTAAAAGTCTCTCAAGTAACAATTTGTTTTCTAAAGTTCAGAGGCCTAGGAAGCCCATATACTAGCATGTTTATCCCAGGGGAGGACCAGTAGCTTCAGTGGGAACATAAATTTCTCATAGATTATTATAAGAGTTGCATCACCTGAATAGTTCAAGTATTATTTATTTATATCATTATTACTAAAACTTACAATTAAAACTTAAGCAATGCAATAAAACAACAAAGTTTCACATTGTCTCAGTGATCCTTAAAATAGTCCAGTAAAGTGATAAGACAGCATTACAGTATGTCCACATAGGAGATGCAGGGTTAGGGCAGAAGAGAGAACAGAAGCATGGCTTGCCTGAGGTTATTTATAATAATGAAATTAGAACTACATTCAGTTTCTGTAGAAAATACACATTTTATTTTAATTAGTAGTGACTTTTAGATGGATATTGTATAATTCTAAACAGGGAAAGAGTATTTTCGCAACATTACAGTGTCAATTGTTGCCGTGTAAATATGGCAATATGAACCCATAGCCATTTTAGATTTTATTATTGCTTTTAAAATACTACACTCTAATTTCACAAGATTGTTACTTGAAGGCACATTTAATTACTAATACTGTTGCTTTAAGGGGAAAAACAACACTTATCTGTTATTAATAAACAGATTTCCTAGAAAAAGTTTGGGTAATTTGTATGTTTAGTATTACTTTGTTGCTCTATTCCTAGAATAATCAGCATCCTGTTTTCTCAGTACTTGTAGTTCTTTACTCAATTTTGAATGGTTTGCATTTTCAGGAAGTGTTTTGCAGAGGTACACAACTCATTTGTATTGTTTGGTACTATATTTTAGTAGGAGCACTCCATACTGAACAACCACCAGAATTTTTCAGTCTTTGCCAGCACAGAACAAGTATTTTAAGAAGTGAAACCACTGTTAGGAGATGAAACATATTAGCATAAAAGGGGAACATTTTAAGTCAGTGTCAGATAAAATGAAAGAAGATTGTTTTAAAACAATTCACCAAGTGGCACTACACATCCATGAAATACCAGGTTACGTAAGTTCTCGTTAAAGTCCTTTATGTTGCAGAGGGTGTTAACAGCTAGATTCTTATTCCATATGTTGGTGGAAATGCAAAATTATTTGATTATTTTTGGAAAAAATTGTCTTTGAAGAAGTTTGTTTTCTTAGGGGACAAGTCACAAGTGATACAACCTGATCCAAGGCTGCTTTTATTAAATCTGTTATAGATTACCATAAACATTCACTGTTTAGGGACCTACTAAGCTTCTTCATGTCCATAGCTAGAACTCTATTAACACAATATTGGGAAACTGCTTCTAACCCAACTTGAGGGATGGTGGGTTTGACTATGGTACATAGCACTTACGAAGAAATTAATAAAGTATCTTAGAGCACTAAGGAATATGTATTCCCAATTATATGCATAGGATCACAAGCCTCATCTGGCTCAGTATGTTCACCTGAAGTTCAAATACACTTAGTTGCTGAGTGAACCTAGTTAAAATGTGCTGTCACACAAGTTTGTAAAAGATTTCAACAAAATTAGGATTTCTGCCATCAATACTGCTACTGTCATAATTAAAGAACAAATAACTGAACTAGGAAGGTGTATGTATGAAAACTTGCTTCTTATGTTGTTGTTTAGTCGTTTAGTCGTGTCCAACTCTTCATGATTCCCATGGACCAGAGCACGCCAGTCACTCCTGTCTTCCACTGCCTCCTGCAGTTCAGTCAAACTCATGTTAGTAAGCTTCAAGGAACATTGTCCAACCATCTCGTCCTCTGTCGTCCCCTTCTCCTTGTGCCCTCAATCTTTCCCAACATCAGGTCTTTTCCAGGGAGTCTTCTCTTCTCATGAGGTGGCCAAAGTATTGGAGCCTCAGCTTCAGGATCTGTCCTTCCAGTGAGCACTCAGGGCTGATTTCCTTCAGAATGGATAGGTTTGATCTTGCAGTCCATGGGACTCTCATTCTAAGAAAATGAGGGAGGTGTTTATGGTGAGTTGCGGCACCTCTTTTTCTAAAAAAAAAAGCACTCATAGGAAGGCACTGTAATCAAATCCAGCCCAGCGCTTTCTTTGGGTGCAAGATGCTGTCAAATATGCCACTCAACTGAATAGTCAAAATATATAGAAATGAAAAAGAACCTGGAGATGTACACTAACAAAATTATACACAGATACATCCAGGTGAGTCTCACTCTATGAATCACATCTGGCCCACTACTTTCTTAGGGCACAAGGCACTGTCAAATATTTCACCTTTACACCAATAATAGTCCAAAATGTGTATAAATGAATATGTAACCAGTAGTGTACACCACAAATCATACACCCACCTATCTGGGGCAGTGTCCTTTATGCAATTGGTGCTGAATTGCACCATGCCAAAAGCTTTCCTTAGGTGCAAAATACTGTCAAAGTGCAGTGAACATATGCTAATAATAGTCAAATGTGTAGAATGAACTAGGAACTGGTGACCTCACAACAAATACGTTTTGGCCATCAGTAATATCATTAATATGAAATGGCAT